TTTGCGTTGAACCCCCACCACATTAAACTTGCTGAACCCCTCCGGGTGTGCAAACGGCTCCACCAACCCCTTTGAAGTCTCCATGTTGGGCTCGGGATGATCATCCGGATGATATAAAGACCCCTCCGTCTTGGCCACTCCCCCCCCTGCTGTATGTAAAGCAGCATTCCCGCCTATTCCTGGGACTTCCCGCAGGTCACTGGGGCTGATATGTTTGAGCAAGAAGTTTTGAATCTCCTCACGGCTGCTCTGCGAGACGATCCTGGAATTCTCATTAATAAAGCGCTGGGCGGTTTCGAAAACATTATCCCCGACGTTGTAGCCCAACTTCAACATTTGCCCCTCCACCTCCACATCGAACAAATAATCATAGGACTTCCCCTGATAAGTCTGCTTTTCCCTCGCAATGGACCCACCGGTATAAGCGGTTTGCGCAGGCCCCGAAACAACAGTCCCCACCTTATCCCAGCGATTATTCCCCCACATGTAAACCACCACTTGGCCATCCGGATCTTTTACAAACAACTTTTCCCCTTCATAGCTCCCACGCTGTTGAAAAATCACATCCATGGGGTGTATTTTAATGTTATCCAAGGCGTGGTTTCCCCCAGAGCCTCCCGCGTCGAGTCCGGTTAGTTTGATATCCACCGTCTGGGCGGCGATCGCCTCATTCAACAATTGAATCTTTTCGGGGTTTGCCATAAAGGCTTTATTGCGGGTCCAAATACGCACACATCCATCCGAGCCCCCCGTGGCGATATCCCCTGAGCTCGGAAAGGTCATCAGTCCCCAAACCACGCAAGGATGGTAAATCACCTCCACTGGGACATATTTCGATATCCTGGAAGCTGGATTGACGGAATTCGCGGCGGAAACCGCCTCGGCGACCTCCCACACCCGCACCGTGTGATCCTCTGAGGCGGACACCACCTCCCCTGTCGCCGTGTTGTACGCGACAGAGTAGATAATCGAATCGTGGCCGTTTAACACGCAAAGCGCCGCCTCCTGGCCAATCCGCCAAAGCCGTACCGTACAATCATTACCCCCGGAGGCGAAAATCGATTCCCCAAGTGCGCAAACGCACTGCACGACATCGCCATGGCCGCGAAAGATCTGCCGGGTTAACCCCGTGCGAACATCCCAGGCGTGGAGCGTTTTATCGCCCGAGGCGGAGACGACCAGAGAGGTCCGGGGGAGATGCGCGAGGCCGCGAATCGCCGTGGTGTGCTGCGCGTAGGACCGCCGGACTCGCCCGGTGGCGTGATCAAAAACGAGGCAAACCCCCCCCCAATCCCCGGTGATCAAATCCCCCGCGGTGGGATCCCCTTCGGCGTGAATGAAGGTCCCCTGGCAAACCCCCTTCGCGTGGCCATCCAAGACCGCGCGGAGCTCGCCCGTCGCGGCGTCCCAGACCGCAACGTGGTGGTCGTTCCCCCCGCTCACCACGCAGGGCCCCCCCCCGGCAAGGCCCAGGCCGGGGTGAAAAAAGACGAAATTGACGAAATCGGTGTGGCCTACGAAAAGGCGGCGGGGCAAAAGATCCCCCGGGGCCTCGGGGGAGGCCGTAAAAGCCACTGCGGTGGCGTCCCGCGAGGCCGTCAAACCTCCCCTTTCGTCGCCGGGGAGGGCCGCCACGGCACGGACGTCAGCGCTGTGGAAGCACCCGTCGGCGC